ATGTCCTTACAGTAACGAACATAGTTCATTGGATCAGTATATCAGTCATTCAGTCATAACAATCATATGCGGTACATCCATTAGCAGAACAGCACAGTAAACAGTAGGTCTTAAAAGACCGAACAGTCAATGATGGCCATCGTAACAGTAAACAAAAGTTCCAAGATAGGAATTGACAGAGATCTCTGTAACAGTAGCAGTAACAGTGACAGTAGTTGCTAAGGATGCCACAATACAGTTCAGAATAGAGGACAAACATTCATTCAGTTAACAGTAAAAAGTTCAGGAAACAGTTCAGTTGATCATTCAAAAAATATTCATTTTCGAACATATCTTTACAACATTGTTACTCACAGAGCTTTGGGCTATAGACAAGCTAGTACGCGTCCTCGGATGCCAATCCTACACACTTACAGAGTGAACACACACTAAGCTACACAATTGGGAAAATAATAACTTAATCCCTATCTTGACCTGGTGTGGTTCTACATCAATATCCTCATTAAGATGCCTTAAACTAGGCCTAGCAATGCCTAGGATGGAATGAGGATGCAAAGATGTACTTTAAAAACATTTTCAGAATTTCAGAAAACAGAGGTCCCGCTTGAGCGTGGTTTTCCCCGTTCGAGCGGACATACAAACAAAATTATCCGCTCTAGCGTAAACCTTCCCGCTCGAGCGGTCTGTAAAACGTGACAAAAGTACTAGATGGGTGAAAATCACGCTCGATGGGCACTCGACACCCGCTCGAGCGTGTGACACAACTCCCCGCTCGAGCGTACATTATTCCGCTCGAGCGGATTGTAAAACAAATGAAAGTGCTGGGAACATGATTTTCCCGCTCGAGCGCCAGTAACCCCGCTCGAGCGGAAGTCTAAATTCTGGAAATTCCATATTCGAACCTCAAGCTCAAAACCAAGTTTTAAAACACCAAATTCGATCCTCTTGGGCCAATTTTCTTGTAAACTCATAATATAACATGATTCAGAGCTCAATTTGTAAAATCAAAGCCCAAAGGTAGTTCAATTAAACACAATTCCAAACCAATCTCATGGACATGATGTAAAACATAACATGCATGGATTTAATCAACCTCAAGACTTTCATTACAAGAACAAATGAGCCAATCCTTTCAAAATCATGAGGAATTCATGAACTAGAACTATAATATGAACATGCATGTGGAATTTCATGAACATTAACTTCAAAACCCAAGAATGGCAACATGCATGCATGAATTCCTACTCAATTCAACATATTAAGCAAATTTTGACTCCAATTTCCAATATAACAAGAATCAAGCAAGAATTAACTTAAAGACAAGTTTAAGAAGGTGGATTCTTTACCTTAGACCTTGAATATCAAGTGTAGGAAGCTCAACTATGAAATCAACCTTCAATTTCTTTAATTCACCAAGCAATTCACAAGATGGAATTCAATTTCTCTCACTCTCTCTCTTTTAGTCAGTTGAGGGCTCCAGAATGGCTGAACAAATGTTTTTTTTGAATGCAATAAGGCTTCAATATGTGTTGCCTTAGTGGTCCACTACCATGGCATTATGGTAAATACTTGGACTTTTGTGCTTCAATGCTATTTAATCTAATTTAATCATACCGAATCACATTTCAAGTAAATATACCATAAAATCCTATAAATTCTAATTAGCACATAACGCTAGTCAATTTCTGGTTCAGCTGCCGATAAGGCCTTCAATTTGCAGTTTAATAGAATAAAACATGAACAGATAATTTAACAGTCAATAGATAGAATTGCATTCAAACTAGCACAATCAATCAATCGATTCAGAATTTCAGTCAGTCAGTCAATTAACATGCTTAATCATAGATTAACACTAATCAGTGTTATTATCAGTAAACAAGAGTGAGGGTTGTCACATTGGGACTTACAATTTTGTGTTGGATGATTAAAGAATATGATGAGGTATGACGGATGGTGATCGGTTAAGAACATGGCCATGTGGTAGGAGTGAATATGGTCCAGATTGGTTCAGTTTGAGATAAAACTAGGACCAATCCATTTTTTATGGTTCCATAAAAATTGGAAACAAACCATAAATCATGGAACCAATCTGAACCAAACTATTTAAACACGGTTTGGTTCGGTTCAGAACCACAGTTTCACATGACATGTTCACAAGAAAAATCGTATAATATTCACCAAATAAACTAATATTAAGCAAACATTGTTCAATATTAATCTACCCATGATTTTTCGAAACATAATCATATTGTTCTACTATTAACTTAAACAAAAATAATATCTAATAAAGAAACATATTGTTCAACATGTAATAAACATAAAATTCCCATTAAATAAACATTGTCGTGGCAACAACAATTACAAAACCAAAATTATGCTGAATAATTAAAAATTCAAATCTAGTGGCGTAGAAAGGTGAAGAGAAAACTAAAATGATATGAATTTCGGTATGGTTTTATATATAAGAGGGTAAGCTTGTATGCATTATGGTGTATAGTACATATATGGTTTAAGTTATATACGGTCTGATTCAGTTTCAATCCAGAACCATGTACTTAAATTCGGAACCAATCTACGGAGACCGATTCCCTAATTTTCCAAATCAAAATCGAACCACGGATTAGAGAAATCAAATCAAACCTACTAGATTAGGCTGAACCGGTTCAGTTTACGAATTTTTCGGATTCCTTACTTTGCCCTACCATGTGGCACTCCTGGACCAAGAATTAATTTTCCGTTATTAGGCTAATATCTCATTTTATTTATTAATATACATATTTTATATGAAAAAAATAAAGTTGAGTTTCTTCAATTTCAAATTTGTACTTAAGGATTTGAAAAGTTTGTGGGCCTATCATAGGTCATTTTCAATAATTTAAATTATTTATTTTGTAAGGTTTTTTTGTGCATATCATTCATGAAAAAAAAATTAAGATGATATAATAAATGTACTTTTTTCTTTTTATTTTACCGTGTTTATAAAATAAATAAATAAATGATCTACTTTCAAAAATTTACTTGTTGTCTATTTCTTCAAAATTAATGTGATAAAATAAAAATGTTACGATTATTAAATTGGTCTAATTTTCTTTTCCTTTTTATAAATAATATACACTAAAATTCTTATAAAATTAATTGTTTAAATTATCAAAACGGAACTCGAAACAAGTGTTACAATCCTATAAACTCTCTTAAGTTCATAGTGGCGAGTCTTATGGTCCTTTAAGTTCTTATAGAGGAGCCACATATAATAATTACAGGAGAACTTAACAATTTCTTTTTATGGGTGCCTTTTGCTATGGAAACATTATTCGATCTATTTTAATTACTAGTTGACACATGAGCCGTATTGTCTAGAGAAAATTGCCCATTATATGGTGGTGTTGTATTTTCTCAATCTCATTATATTGATAAGATACTTGAGAAATTTAGTAAATCAGATACAAGTGTGTCGAGGACACCAGTAGACTTGAGTCTATATTTGGCTAAGAATAATAATGAAATTGCATTTCAACTAGAATATTCTCGGGTCATTAGAAGTTTAAAGTATTTGATAATGTAGTGTCCTGGGTCTTAGACCCGAATCGTTTATGTTAAGTAGTAACCGTTACCTTATATTTATAATTTTTTTTTTTTGACTTTTGAAAAGTTGTGGGTTACATTTACCCTTTTAGTTATTATAATTGGGACCTTCTCCTCATTGTTTGGAGTCTTGATTGATGAGTTAATAAGTTGGTTAGGCAAGATTAGACCAAGAATGCTAAATTTGAATTTTTATTTTGAGTAGTGTTCACTCTTTTGCCTTTTTCTTTCTCCACATTCTGAATCTTGATGTGAGGCTAGAACCATTGGAAATTTTATTTTTGGGGCTTCAATTTAGACACAAAATTGACTGTATTCTGTTTTCGGACAAGAAAGATATGCCTATTTGAAATCTCCAAGTAAAAGTTGTCTCGTCAAATCCACACAAGCGGAAATTTGAATTTCGCATGAGCGGATTTTGTGAGAAAGCCATTTTTTCTCCTGAGTTAATTCGCAAGGGCGATTTCAAAATCCGCACGAGCAAATTTTGTGCATCCAGACATCGATTTTTGTGGCCTTTTCACTCAAATCAGATCCCTCTCTCTCTCTCTCCCTCCCTCTCTCTCTCTAAGTTCTCTTTTGTCTAAACTCTCACCAATTTTCACATTTTCTTTGGTCTACAAAGATCAAGCAAGATTTTGATGCTAGTTCCTTATACAAAATTGACGAGAGTCTCAAGGGCTACGTTTTGACCGGTGGAGATTAAATTCTGACAAAGTTGATTTTTTGATATTTCTCCCCTTCTCTCTTTGAGGTTGAGGTTTCTTTGTTTCTTTTCAATACCCCATTATAGATAGACATGTGGTAGTTTTTTATTACATTAAAAACTTGATTTGTTGGGTATTTTTGAAAAGCATGTGATGAGGGTTAGGATTTTATGATTTAGAGTTAAATCTTATGTTTTATTGTCAATATATGAGATTGTATATTTGAGGAAAATGTTTAAAAGGATTAGAGTAAAAAAAAACCCTAATTAATTGTTTAGGGGTTATGAGAAAGAGGGAAAAATTGATGATTTGATTTTATTTGAACCATATGGGGTATTGTGTATTACAAATGTGAAAATGGGCATCTAAGAAAATAAAGAAAGAATCATGAAATTTAATTTGTGTAAATTGTTATCTATGGTTTTATAATTGTTAAGTTGTAATAATTGTTGAAAAATCAAAATTTCAGAGAAACTAAAAGGGTGTTGGTAAATGTTGTGTGTATGAAAGATTTTTGGATTGGTTAATCTTGTTTGTGAGGGTTGTGATGAAAAGCCCTAAATCCTTTGGTTATTTATTTGTTTGAGAGATGGGATTAATTTGTGTTACCAAACCTGTCGAACCCGAACCGAAGTTATTTGCCTTACAGATTTTTTGCACCCATACATTGGTTTTGGAGATACAATTATTACCCTACCTACCTATTACCTAAGCCATCTCACATCTCTCAAGAATGAGAGATGTTTTGGCTGCCGTACACTTTCCAACATCTAAAATTTAAATTGCAAGATACAACCACAGTGAACCATTCATCACTATCTTTTCTGATTTTAGTCTCTTTGTATCCCTCTCTCTCTCTCTCTCTCTAAAATAATATTTATCTATCGTATATCTACATACATACTGCTACATCTTCTCCACTTTCTCTCTCATTTTATTTTATAGCTATGTTAAACTCCTCTTACTCATTCGTCACTCTCTACTCTCAATCTTTCCATTGATTTGTGATGAGTTTTGAAGGTTAAAGCCCCTCACAATCTTCTTTTCGGTAGATGGAAGCATTTTTCTTTAGAATCTTCAGATTAGACTAACAAAAACTATAAGGTAAGGATTCTATATTTTCATTTTAAATCTTTCTGCATAGTTTTCTTGTCAATCGGTTCTATCATTTTAAACCCTAGACTTCTATATTTTTATTTTTATTTTTTTCTTAAAATTTCTTTCATCAAGTAGGTCTATGATCCACTCTTGTCTTGTGTATGCTCTTTGTTTCTATTATGTAAGCATGTTCTAATGCTCTTGGTTTTTAATAATAATATTTCTCGTTACATAAGCTTTTGTTATGTGACTAGAAAAACAAAAATTTTGTTATATTATGTTCCTCTCATACTCTATTTGCATTAATAATATTTTCTTTCGTTGAAAAAAAAATGCTCTTTGGTTTTTAATTTTTTTGAAACCAAACTCTTATTTATTTAGCTATTATGCTTGGCCTTCTTTTTTGTTTTTTGCAAAAATAAATTTATATATATATATTAGGTTAAGGTCTATTCATTCCTTTATTTAGCTTTTATTTGAATTTGATTTTTTTTTTTAAGATTACTATTTTTTAAGCATTATATGTTTTGTGTTCTGGAAATTTTGTTTTATTGTTGTTTAAGCATGCTCTCTCTGTACTTTGTAGAAAATAAAAAATAAAAAGAATTTGCATGCTCGTTGATCACTTTATTTTTAATAATCATTGCTAATGATTTATGCTCTTTGTTATTTTGATGAAGCATGTTATGATTATTTTTTTTAGTTTAACCATGCTTTCATTATTTTGTTTAAGTATTGTTTTGTGACATGCTATTTTATTTTTTATTTTATTTTTGTTATGGTGGGGATTTAAAAATGTATTCTAATGTTTTACTTGTATTTTGGTATAGATAATGGATCCTTCTCTTTCTACAGTTGCATCTGTTGCCCAACCTACTGGCCTTCTCCCTTCTGAAAAGCCTCCCATACCACCCAATGACAAGGGTAAAGTTAGGTAAAAGGATAGTAGGAGAAAACCATCTAGAGCTTGGGATCATTTTGATAAAATAAAGAGTGAAGAAGATGGAAAAAAAAGGGTTGTTTGCAAATATTGTCAAAAGGAATACCTAACAGATTCAAAAGGGCATGGAACAAGTAATTTGTTGCGTCATTTGCGTAGGTGTCCAAAATATCCCTATAGAGAACATGGTAAGGGACAATAGACCTTATCTTTTCAACACAAAAAACATGGAGAAGAGGGTGTTGAACTTGTGGCAACAATCTTCACTGTAGAGGCTGGTAAAAGAGCTCTAGCTGAGATGATTGTACTAGATGAACTGCCATTTAGGTTCGTTGAGGGAGCTGGTTTTCGAAAATTTTGTAACGTCTTGCAACCTAAGTTCAAACCAATCCCATGTTGTACCACTATTTCCAAATATATTGTAACAATTTTTAACCAAGAAAGGGATAAGTTGAGGAATGTATTGAGAGGTCATAGGGTGTGCCTTACCACTAACACATGGACATCCATACAAAATCTGAATTATAGGTGCTTTACTGCCCATTTCATTGATGATGAATGGAAATTACAAAAATGAATCATAAATTTTAGTCAAGTTGAAGATCACAAGGGAGAAACCATTGGCAAAAGAGTTGAAATGTGTTTGCTTGAGTGGAATAGTGGTTGTATTTTTTCTTTGATAGTTGATAATGCTAGCTCTAACAACACAACCATTAAATACTTGAAGAGGAAAACAAAGGATTGGAAAGGGACTGTCTTGGGACATGAGTTCTTACACATTTATTGTTGTGCGCATATTTTGAATCTCATAGTGAGTGAGGGTTTGAAAGAATTAGATGCATCGATTGCATGTGTACGCGATGTTGGGAGCTATGTAAGGTCATCTCCAAACAGGCTAGAGACTTTCAAGAGATGTGTGGAGAGAGCAAAAATTGAGTCAAGGTCTCTTCTATGTCTTGATGTACCCACTAAGTGGAACTCCATTTACTTGATGTTAGAGGTAGCTAAAATATTTGAGAAGGCCTTTGAGCGGATGGAGGATGAGGACTCCAATTATAAATCTTATTTTTCAGGTGATGTGGGTTGTGATGATGGGGAGGAGGGAAGTGACAAAAAGAGGGCTCCAACCGAGAGTGATTGGTGCAATTGTAGAATGTTTGTGAAATTCTTAAGGCTGTTCTACAATGTTACTAAGCGATTTTCAGGCTCACTTTATGTTACATCAAATTGTTTTTTCGATGAGATGTTTGTTATTCAATCCAAAATTGAGCAATTGTCAAGAAAAGAGTCAAAAGAGGATGAATTGTCATCTTTAATGGCCAAAGGCATGAAAGCAAAATTTCAAAAATATTGGAGGAATGGAGATAAAATAAATCTTTTATTGTATGTTGCGGTGGTGCTTGATCCTAGAAAGAAGTTGAGGCATGTCAAGTTCTGTTTTTCATATTTGTATGGGGTTGAAATGGTGAATCAAATGATGGGTCAGGTGAAGGATTATTTGACTCGTTTGTATAACCATTATATTGGAAATGATTCAAGTAGTGTGGAAGTGACTAATACAAGTGAACAATCTGCCATGAATGTGGATGATGATTGTGATGATCTACAATTGTTCATATCATCTCAATTCAATTCATATTTGGATTTTGAATATTCTATTTTGTTCAAATCTGAGGTGGATGCATACTTAGCTAAGCTCTGTCAAGGTACAAAAGATGAGAAATTTGACATTTTAAATTGGTAGAAGACTAATTCCTCAAAATATCGAGTGTTGTCCCAAGTTGCACATGATGTGTTAGCCATGCCTGTTTCTAGAGTTGCATCTGAGTCGACATTCAGTGTGGGAGAATGAATCATTGATCCATTCCATAGCTCATTATCTCCTATGATGGTGGAAGTACTTATATGCCTACAAAATTGGCTTCAAAGCAACATATCGATTTCTCTTCGCAAGGCAATGGATGACGCTGAACAATTTGATCAATATAACTCAGGTAAAATGTATATAGTTCATTTTGTATACATTTTGAATTTACTATGGTCAACATGGAACTTTAGATTACTGACTATTGTTTGTTTTCATCTTTTCAAGAATCAAACACAAGCTCGAGTCCATGCACAACCACAACAGCAAATACTATTATTAATGTCCAGCATCGGAAATGGCTTGGTAATGAAATTATATAATGTATTTTGTTTATGTCATATGAGGGTTATATTTCTGTAACTTTTTGTTTTATATGTAGTACATGAAATCTAATTTCAATTTTATTTTTGCAGGAGAGAAGTGCATGCAGCAAGATGGACACATAGCTTTTTGTTTATTACACAATACTTTTTGTTATTAAACTGTACATGTGGATGAATGTAATTAACACTAGACAATAGAAGACTTGGTCACTTTCTTTTTAACATTTTGTTTTGTTGCTACCAAGTGGTATTGTGACTGTTGGCTATTATTTTTGAATTTTTGTTGTAGGTTGCATTGTTCAATGCAACATTGCCTTAGCCAACAGCTTAGTCTTGGCACTTAGCAATTGCAAGAGTACATATACAGCCTCACAAGTATAGCAACGTCTATAGAGAACCACAACACTTTTGGATTTTGGATATTTAGCTTTTGAATTATGGAATCTGGATGATATTTATCCCTTAGCAAATGATGGATATTTACTTTTGGTAGCAAGATAATTGGCTTTTTAATGCTGTTTACGTTATTTTTGAATTTTGGATATTGAACAATATGTTATGTGAAAAGATATTTAATGATATTTTTTTATTTTCATATTGAAAAATGAATTATCTTTCGGTGGTCATGTTAAACAGATACTAAAATTGGCCTAAAATTAGCCAAGGAAAAAAGTTATATTTGATGTTAACATTACTGAGAAAAAAAAAATGGACTTGGCCCAAAATAGTCCAATTTACTTCAAAATGGGCTCATTTTTTGTAATAAACAGTGAAAAAAATGAAGTTGGCCCAAAATAGGACAATTTACTTCAAAGTGGGCACACTTTTTGTAATAAACAAGGACAAAAAAATGTACAGGCCCAAATTTTAGAAATTTAAAAATGTAGGGTGTGTTTGGTTTGGATTTGTAGAGTGATTTTGAAAAAAAAAATTTCAAAAAATTTGTTTGGTTTGCAAATTTTCTAAAACAATTTCTACAATTACTTTCTCTTTCTTACCTATCAATCAATCACTTTTTCTTTCTCCTCTCTTATTCTCAATCACTTTTTCTTTCTCCTCTCTTATTCTCAATCACTTTTTCTCTCACACACATCTACTCAATTATAACAAAATATCAAATCATTCTAAATTCCAAAATTCCAAAACTACTTTCAAAATATCAAATCTCTCACTTTTTCAACTTGTCACCCGCCCTGATCCGCCCGCCAACCTGTTTTCCATGAGCAGTCGATTTCAAAAACATGAACGGTCGAGATTAGTTTACAAATATCTGAAAGGTTTCGGGTAAGGGTTAGACCCGACCCAAACCGACCCATGCACAGGCCTATGTTGGATTATGAAAATAAATTACGAGTTGAGTTTTGATAATTAATGAAAAAAGATGTGGCGATTTGTTGTAGGTGTTGGGAGTTTAGAGATAAGGGAAAATAAATTTTGGAAATCAATAAAATATTTATATGCTTTTGTGAAATGAGAAGTAAGAGAAACTGACGATTTTTTTCTTTCTTTAAAACAAGTGAATAATTGTATTCGTGACAAATTACTACTTGCTGAACCAAATTTGAATATTTTGAATTGAATCTTAAAGATTGGATGGTAGTGATGGAAGAGACTTTGATCATGATTTTTCAAAACGGAGTGAATTGGAAGTTGAATTAATTGGAGTTGAAAGATAAAAGTTATGTAAAGTATAAATGTTGATAAAATCTAAATTAAGAGGATGAAATTGAATTCATGGACTTGGTACATGTTGTTTATGAGGTTGTGTCCTTGGCCATTGGTAGAGGATGGTATTGAAGTTGTTAAATAATTTGTGAAACTTTGAATAATGTGCCAATTGTTTAGTTGAATGAAAGCGCAAATTGATATGGGTTCCTCTCCCCTCTGCATTTTCACCCAATAAAGTTTGGCGCTTTGACATGGGCTCCTCTTCCCTCTGGTTCGCACCTGGTAAAGTGTGAATAGGTTCCTCTCCCCTCTAGCTCGAGGTCCGGTAAAGTTTGACACTTTGAAATGGATTCCTTTCCCCTCTGGCTCATGCTCGATAAAATGGGTTGTGGTGGTTATGGCTTGATGAAGCCGGGGTCCGTTATGTGTTAATTACACGTAGTGTATCTTCATACTTGTGTTGTAATGAGAAGGGATGCATTATTGGCTTTTTATGCATGTGACCGGTAAATATAATAATGCGTGTTGACATGTATATTATTGCTTCTATATATATGTATTTGTGAACGTTCATTTTGTACTTGCGCTTAAGGCCATAATATATAGTAATTTTCTTTGTAGCCGTAATGAGTTGGACTGTAGGACAAGTATATTGTTTAGATCGATCTTAGGAGATCATGGTAATATGATGAATGGTTTAGATTTCTTTAAATGCAAATGAAAAGTTTTGAAAGGTAAGAACTGGTCTTTTGTTTCTCATTATGTTAAAGAGGATCTTTTGAAAATTTGTATTTATATGAGTATATTTTGAAGTATGAAATGTCGCATATTATATTGTAACTAGTTTCTCGTGCTCTTCTGAGGGGTTTAGTCCCCTCAGATACGATAGCCCTACAGTTCAGACTCCCGTGGTTTTGAATCTAGTTTCACAAGTGCAATATGAAACATAAAAACACAAATGAGAGTCCAAATTCGGCAAATCTTAGAAAATCCATTTATCACTAAAGATGTCAAAATGGACTGCATTGCCAAATTTCAGAGGCGCTTCCTAAATATTTTGAAAAATTTCGGAAACCCGTGACTCGTGCCAAAGGCCACTTGTCCATCATAACCAAAGTGCCTTGGCTGGAGAAGTTAAGTATGAGAGGGGAGGTCATAAATTGAGCACCCCACTCATCCGATCAAAGATCGGCCTCTACTAATCATGATGTAATTTTTATGTACATTATATGCTCATGTTATAATTATTATGCTAACTTACTATGTGAGGCACACAATTATAGGCTACGTCACCCACTTTGGAATACTTTGATTTCATATTTGTTTGAAAAAGTGTTTTCAATATGTGCAACTCAAAGGCGAAGTTAGCTCATATGTACAATAATCAAAGTCATTCCAACTTAGGCAGAATAGCCGGCATCCACAGGCATTCAAAGAGATATTTCAAACAAGCACTTAGCCTCATGGTAGTATGCTTGATATGGAAACACAAATACACATGTAATATGCTAAAACAAAAAAAATACTCACCTAGTACTCCACTGAGGCAAACCAAAGAAAATAAAATAATTAGAAAAATACATGTTCCTAAATATGCAAAGTGACTAATGCAACACATACGAATTGCAACTACCATGTTCGGCTTATTTAACATGTCATATGGATCAACTCAAAACATACGGAAACGCACGTATTCAAGTAATTAGAAAATGACAATGATATTAGAATGATGAACCAAACCCAATGCATGCATAAATGGATACAATGCATAGCAATGATATGAAACCAAAACATGATACTACCACGGTAAGCATGTAAGTATAAGGGAGAAAGAAATGGGAGTTGGAAGACATACAAAATATTACAAATTTGCCCTTGCACAAGAGGGTTTGAATGAATGTCCTAATTAAACTAATTATTACAAACACAAATGAATTAACTAAATTAATTAATTATTACAAGTCTGAATGAAAGTAAAGCAACTAATTAATTACAACATACGAATCTAAAAGCTATTAATCTAGTGGATTCGAACGAAAGGCAAGGAACCGCATGAGCACAAACAAGAACATCCTCTGAAAACCTCTCTGTTTGCTGCCAGAATATGTTCTGCCGTAAAAATGCCACTTCATGTACAAAATAGGTGGCCGGCCGGCACTGAAAAGTGGTCGGCCATACACAATGGTGGTTGGCCGACCACTGTTTCTAGGGAATATCCTGTTGTAACAGAGCAAAAACAGAGTGTTTTCAGGAGATGTTTATCCTCTCTGCCCTTCCCTATCATGAAGATGGTCAATGGAAGAGTAGATTCGATTCTCAAATTATCAATTATCACAAATTTGTTGCAATAGGACAAGAGCTCAATAAATGAAACAAAAAATAAATAATACTTCATCCCTATCATAGAGTTACCTTAAGGGAGGGGGTAGACTTTGCCTTATGAATCATCAAACATCACTAAAATAGTATGCAATGATTCAAGACGTAATAGGTTCAGTATAACGTCCAACTAAACCTAACCAAATTTTATTATCTTTTTTACCTCTTTTACTCTAATTTTATTAGTTCTTTTTTTCTTTACCTTTCCATTTTCTTATCTTTTCTTCTTTTTTGTCCAAAGGCGATGATTACGTCTACTAAGTCCAAAAGGAATAAAGAGTAGCAAGCATGACTTGACCTGGGAAATGAGCTTTTCAAGCCCTTTTCTACAGGAGAAACTACAAAGGAAGAATCAAATCCATTTACAAGCGATAATGAATTCGGAGTCAAACCCAAAAAGAGCGATAATGACTAGTCATACCTGAAAAGGGTGATAATAACCAGTCAAACCCGAAAAGGGTGATAATGACTCCAAATCCAAACCCGATAATAACCTATAATGACTCTTTCCTTTTTGATTTCCAAGGGTCTAATTACAAAATTAGTCCCTTAGAAGTAATGCACTAACGATAAAGGGAAGTGTCAAACAAGAGATCATGCTTAGCATAGTAGAGATGTACTGCCCTGATAATGAACCTCCGAAGAGGTTAAACCATTTAGCATGAGGGGTCTCTTTCTTATGCCTTGAGCGATGATCTTTTGTTTGATACAACTCTTAATCAAAAGAAACAAAGAAATGAGGGAGGTTGCAGAGTACAAATGAAAGGTGGGTGATTACAATGGCATGAATATGTACATGAGAGCTATAAAAGAGAAAGAAAAGACTATTAACTCAAATGGATTGGAAGCTATGGCCTATACACCAAATCCATGAGGACTTACAACAACACAAGGATAATATTCAAAGCATGAATTAAATAAACACACTAAATAACCCCTAAACTCCAAAAAACTGCGGCCAAAAACAAGAGAAACAAAGTGGAAAAAGTCAAAGCAACAAGCTATGGAACAAGGCCTAAGGAAGGGTGGTTAACCCCTCATCTTTTTGTGACTTTTCAATCACATATTTACGCTTAAAATAGCTCTGAAATCAGCATGAAAAGGCAAATAAAAGAGAAAGAAAAGATGGTACAAAAGCTCAAAGATTAGCCCTTTAAAGAGATGATGCTCTTCTT